ATGAATTTCATGGGACTGTAGAAGGTACATTATTTGTGAAGCCTAAAGAGGAAAATCAAAGAAATGCAAGAGATAAAAGCAAACTTTTTCTCTGCCCAGTAGCCAGGGGTATATTTATTAGCATCCATATCAACTGAAAAAATGTTCTTTAATTTTAGTCAGCAGGATGTATTTCGGGTTGGAGATATATTTGCATTAACCTGCTAACGCCAACCTCCTATTTCTCTCTTTGATTTTCTGATCACTTCATAAAAGTGATAGGTACTGTTTCTAAAGCCACAAATTGTATTAGCACATCTATAGAAATTAGTATTTTTTTAAAAAATTTCCTATGTGCACTGAGATGGAAACAAAAAAGGTAAACTGAATTAAATTCTCCTTCGCTCTCTCTAAGCAGGGTTTCTATTTCTAATGATTGCATTTTTCAAATGAAAAGGAAGTCATGCTCTCGAGAAGGAAAGTTGGCCAGTGCTTACTCAGCTCCTTCTTTTCAGCGTTCTGTTGTATTATTTGTATCTTTGTTTGTTAATAGGAAGGCAGAGATCGTGGCATAATACAGTAATAACCGTATATGATGTTGTTATTACATGTTATCCTATAAAACACTTTCACAAAATTTTACCTCCACCAGACTTTAAGAAGCAAGTAAATTAATTCTATGATTAATTCCAATTAATAGACAAGAAAACCAAGGCTCAGAGAGATTCAGAGACTTGTCCTGTTTGCAGGTGGTGAACAGGGTAGAAGTCAGCACTTCTGTTACTCAGCTCTGCTCTTCCCTGGCATTTCAGAGCTTCTAATGACTTAGTATTTATTGAGCAACTACATGATAAATGGCATCATGGTATTCAAGATAGAGACATAGCCTAAATATGCAGCCCAGGAGGCTCTTTTAAATGTATCTAGCTCATATTGTAAATTAGGATAATTAACTAATTCTTTAAATGATCCCTGTTCCAATGGGTGCAATGGCTAACGCTGGACAGCACGGTGGTCATCTTTTGTGACTCCTGTGTTTTAACAAGCCCTCCCAGTATTTCTGATGATGCTGAAGACTAAGTACCACTGTCTAAATGAAGAGAGAAAAAGAAAATTCTGTTTCTGATAAACATTTACTGGAGCCGCTAAAAAACTGAAATGGAATCTGGCTTTAGAAGACATCAAAGAGAAAGGTCTTCTAGAAATAATTAAAAGTCAAGGAACCCATCAATTGACTGAAAAGTGGGACTAAGAAGTCACTCTCAGTTATTCTCCGTAGAGAAAGAAGGTATTAAGGTTAAAGAAAAGTTCAAGTCATCGGAGAATATCAGAAGAGTGATCCTAGCAAGGGAGCCGTCCCAGTACGAATACATAATGTCCCATCGTCCTGCCGAGCGTGGAGCACGGAGGCTGTGTCTACTGCAGGACAGAAATCAGTTATTACTCTTCCCACTCTTTACAGTAAAAATGAAAACAAAACCCTAAGAACTCGATGCCCTGATTTATGAAGATCTACATTAAATATGGAAGGGAGTAGTTAATGATCTATGCCCATCTGTGTATCTGGCAAAACCTAAGTATCTTGATTAGATGCTGTGTTGAGAAAATAACATAGACATTTAAACAGTATACATGGGAAAGGAGAGACAATCAATGTCACAGTGACGGAGGACAGATGATTTTATGTGCATCAATGTCCTCCCTACTGTCTGTGTATCAATCCCAGACCCCTTTCTTAAGTCCAAAATTTCTAATTATCTCCTACATGTCAATTTCAACCAAAATCAAAAACTGAGTATATCCAACCAGGTCCCACAAACCTTTCTGATACTCTTGATCTTAGTTAATGGAATGAATTTTCCCAGCGATAAACCCTTAAACATTCTTCCTCCATCTTGGCCTTTCTCCTGCTCCCCTGACACCCTCTACACAGTAATATTTTGTATTTACCGAGTCCATTTAATTCAAGTTCATAATTAGCCAAGGATTCATTTCTCTTTTTCCTTTTCCATTGTGATCACCTTTATTCATATCCCCATGATATTTTCCCCAACTCTCTTCACAACTAGACCTTAAACCTCTAGAAAACAGGAGTAATGTCTCTTCCCCAGTGCTCAGCTAACGCCCTGCACAGTAAGCATGTGCCAACTGTAAATTGCTCCCAGGCGAATGTACTGGATTAATGTGCAGATTAATCTGAAGTCTCACAGCCCCCAGGATTTCAGGATGCCAGCACACATTGCAGCTTCTTCCAGAGAAAGAAACAAATATGTGACAGATTTGTAAAAGAAGAATATATTTTCAGATCCACATTCATCACATTTTAAGTCCTAAGTATTCTAATCATGAGATTTGTATGCTTTTTAAAAAATATTAGATCCTTTTTTTTTGACTCATTTTAAGACAAGCTATGTTTATTTTGTCCACTTGGATATTATTGTGTTCAAGTTTTAACCACTGGCTTCAATAATCTCAACACGATGAATAGTAATGTTTTCTAGAGCCTTGAGGGTTGCCCATGAGAGTGGAAATTAGGTAAATTATAATAACACACAAAATAACTTTCAACAATCATGAGTATCATCTAAGGAATTACACTGTTTGAGAGAAAAAAATCCTGTCAAGAACTTACTTGTTACCTACAAGACACTGGTTTATGGAAACTGCTATTCCACAAGATGGTGGCCGTACTTAGGAGATGCATAATCTAAGTAAATCACAGATAAACAGCCAAGCTCTCATGGGGTTTGCCTGCCCTCCCCCCACCCGACCCCTGAGGCCATCTTTTGCGCACTACACTGTAGAAATGTCATGATATAACAACCTCACTGTCATTGTTCAAGACACCATGGACTTTGAGGTAGACTGGATTTTCTCTTTCCAAATTATAAAGTTTGAAGAAAAAGATACAATTCCTTTTGTTTGTTTATTCTCAGTACCTTCGCTGAAAAGGGATTCCAGAATGTGCAAATAGGAAAGAAAAAATCTTGGCTTGCAAACTGATCCAAGAGAAATCTTCCAGAAACACATGGCCTGGGATATTTCAGACTCCTGGCAGATTGCAAACCTTTACTGCCTTTTATTAAAACTCAGGGTTCAAATCAAGTGCCTCTAAGGAGCCAGGACCTACTTGTCAGACTAGAATTTAGCTCAGAAGTTGAACATCTTCCAACAAACACTCTCATAATAGCAGATATCTTCTCCAGACACCAAATTACTTTGGCTGGCACAAATGTCATTGTCTAAAGAGACACTGAAATGTTTGGTCAATATTCTCTAGAAAATAGAATTAAGAAGGTTATGCAGTAATAAACAGGAAAAACACCAATGGCCATTTTGTTCTAAAGACTTGCTGTGGTCTAAAATGATCCAGACCCACAGACATTAATACCTATCTTGTGGTGGTCTATAGAGACATAAAACAAGAGGGTGTACACTATAAAATCACTGTTATTAAAAAATGCAAGTACTTCAAGACATGATCATGGAAGAAACTTCCAAATCACAAGGTGACTGAAAGTAGCACCTGAACCTACACAGATAAAAACAGACTTCTACTCTTTCCTGCCTAAGTGTCTTTGCATTTCTCCAGTGGTGAAAAACTTGGATGTAACATAACAAGTATCTTCAGAAATTCCATTACCTGTCCATCCCTGTCGAGGGTTTGTACAAGTTCGGAAGGATAAATGAAACAAATTTTTCTATCGGTAAAGTTTTACCAGTATGTTGAGAAGGTAATCCACAAACAACTGGCTGTGAAACAAACAAGAAAAAGCCAGGAAAACAACAAGCAATGAAATAGGGGTCTTGTGGAGTGTTGTTTTATCAAAGCTTGGGGTCCGTTAAGGAAAAGGGGGTGCATGGTGGGGAGACATAAGAATGGGCCATAGAACGCGGGCTTCTGGAGAGGAGTTTTCAGGAGATGTGCAGCTAAGAAGTTCTCTTACTAATGGCGAGGAGTCTGCTGAAAGTCCTCCAGTAAAGCAAAGACAATAAGAGCTACAGCAGAGCTCGTCTTCAAAGACTGCAACGTCTCCTAAGAGCCTATCATTTGCAGAGAACTGTTGGCGCATTAACAAACAGAACAGAAGTTGCTAGAGCTGCAATGGCACAGATTTGTGTAAGATTTTACTTTAAAAGGCAGATTTTGAGCCACTGCAGTACATGCGGTGTCTCTGCAATTAGTCAATTAGACTTGAAACAGGGAAGGAAGAGTTCAGTGTGAAAGGATAGAGGATCGAATAGACAATTCAGATACAGGCCAGTAAGAAACAGAAGGAACTAGACAGACAGAAATAGATGCCTCATTCATTTCTGTCTATGACATCGCCACTTCCTTGGTGGTTTAAAAAAAAAAAGAAGCAGGGAGAAAACAGGAATAAAAACCACATTGTATTTATAATTTTGTGCCATTTTAGTTTATTTTCTACTGATGACATAAAGATAAAGCGACATTTTGCCATCAGTGAACTTGATATAGTTAAGCCTGCGGTCAGAGTTCAGTTATTTTCTAGTAATCTTTTTAGATTTTTTAAAAAAAAATATGTAAGTCTCAATTTAAAACCATTTAATGGGGTTTGCTAAAGAACCATATCAAAATTAGATGTACAATTCGCTTCTGCAGTAAGAGGCAGAATTCCTGAACAGGCAATGAGGTTAAACAGGAAAATAGCAAAATATTGTAGAATATCAAAAAACGAAGATGAGAAAAAACACCCACCCATACCTAGGAAGCCCTGAACCTTGTATCTTGACTCTCACATAGAAATGTCTCCAGTGTACGGGAAGCCAACATAGGTGACCTCGTTTTGCTTTAGTTCCCACTGAAGTCTGACTTGCCAGGGTGGGAGGGGCAGGTGGTGGTGACTGCTGGAGAGTATAAACTGGGGGCTTAACGGTACTCTTCTGTCATAGCGGTTCTGATTGCAGGTTTTCTGTTCCTTAAAATTTGGGGAGAATCTGAGCATCCACAGAAACTTTCTGCAAGCAAAAGAAACTGAAAAAAGTAGTTTTGCACGTACCTGTTTTTCTCCGCTGGGCTTTTTGTGGTTCAGGAGCAGCTCCACAGCTCCGACGACCTCTTTCCTGATGGCGTGTAACAGAGCATCCCCGACGTAGACGTTAAAGCTTAGGAGCAGTTCGATGAGCTCCAAGTTCTCATTTTCGATTGCGATGAGGAGAGCAGTTCTTCCAAGAGGATCAATGCAATTAATGTTGATTTTAAAATAGATTTCAGCTTCCTCGAGGGATTTCTTGACACTTGCATAGTCTCCCTTTTCCACCGCGTTTAAGTAGGCTTTCTCCGATGGTGAGAGTTCCGACTCTGCTCGGACTATCCTGAGGGGGATGCGGTCTCTGTAGGGGGCATTAACATTTCTCTTGTAATAGAACTGAGCCATGTCTCATGCCATGCTATTTCTTTGTCCCTGAAAGTGCAAACAAAAACCAAAAAAACCCACAAGGATTAGGGTTAGCACTTTTTATTTAAAGGATGACGCATCACACTTAACGATGATGCCAATAACAGCAATGAAACCATAATTATTAAGTACTAAGAGTTATTTTCCCTTTAAACAATGGAAGTAGACCATAAGTACTCGGTTATTTAGAATTACAGGGTACAAAGTTCTTATCTAAGAGGAATAAACAAAGGCTAGTATTTAGCAAGCTATTTTTAAAAGTTACTTTCAAAGTGATATTTGTCAGAGGATGCACCTGTAATTTTTAAAAATTATTTTCAAAATTTATCATAAATATATGTAGTTTTTCGCAGAGGACCTTGAAAATCAAAAGCTGTCTTTGACGTCCCTAAACTGGACCAGGGATATTCGAGTATGTCATTCACTGTCAATTTTGCTCATCATGGAGATGCTGTTTAGATGACGGAATATCACTAAGTGGGCAAAATGCTTTTCATTTGTCATGTATTCTGTTCTTAATGTTTGGAAGTACTGATGTTAAAGTTTATGTGAATTAATGATACTAATAGCAATAAAACACCATGCTGAGCCTGGCAGGCATAATTTTATTTTTTTTCCTTTTGTAAGTAAATTCACTGAGGAAAAAAGAATGTGTACCGATGGTATTAATTATTAAGAGGAATCTAGGCAATTCAATTTCCAAAGAAAGAATTTTAGAAAAAGACTATATAGAGAGTTTATGATGAAAATGCTATTTTCTTAATTCTATGACCTCTCTATAATGAAACAATAAGCCACAAGGCAGGAATATATTTGTTGTGAAATGGATTATGATTTTGAAGTTACAGTAGACACACAACTGAAGATGAGGAAATTATTTAATAAGAGATAATAATAAATAAGAGATTGTCATCTTGAACGAGATTAATTAAAAGTCTCACGTCGCTAGAAGTCATATTGATTTGGTAATCATCTTAGTGATACAGATTTAGTGAAAAATGTAATATGTTTTGAATATCATTTCTTTACTGCTGTTAGTTCCTGATTTCTTACTTACGGTCTGAACTATTTTATTATTCTCTGTCATTTATATTCAACTCACATGTTTATTTACATATATTTACTACATCAAATTAAAATGAATGGGGCATTCAAGGTACCTGAACATGCATATTCATCTTAATTGATCTTTTTAGACCTAATCACTTTATAAGTAAATTAACCTGATTTGAATAATGCTTTAACTGTAGATTAAACATGCACTGCATTAACAAATGTGATTATATTTAATGTAATGTTCTCAATTTGGGGAATTATGCATTGTTTGCATGCTACCTCATTTAACAGTAATTTCAGTTTTCAAGTAAAGTTTTATCTTTTGATATCCAGACTATTCATCATGGTTTTGCAAATATCTAGATTTAGGATCTAATACACAAAACTGTGATTTCATAATTTGTTCCCTTCTGGCATGTTACATTCAACATTTTATTAAGGCCTCTTCATAGACTAAGCAAAAATGGTAATCTCATAATCCAGAATATTTTTCTCAAATATTTCCAATTTTATTAGTCTTGGTGTTTTAAATGTATAATGACCAACTATGCAGAATGGTCTAAATTTATTTTCATAACTGCAGGCAAAGGGTGTTGTGAGTTTTTAAATGCCAATATTACTTTTTTAGAGGAAGATGAAAAATGATACTGGTGTTCAAATATGCTAATTTTAAATGTGCAAATTTCTTACTGGAAGCTTGATTATAATTTTAGTAGCTGGAGGATGCTTTCACTCACCAGAACAATGGGAATAAAATTTATATTATCAGATAACAAAGACAGTTTAATGTTCCTCCAGTATAACTAAAAATTCAGCAAATCAACATCATTCTAGATGCTACATATCTCATTTTAATTTTCTGATTCCAAATGTCCCATATATGTATCAGTGGTAACATTAAAACACCTGCCTCAGGAAACTAGCTGTCAGCTCACTTCTATACATGTCAGCATCCGTTAAGAGTGTGTGGCATCAGTGTTGTGGTTTATTTTACCAGGACTACAATGTAAATGCTTCATAATGATAACAACTGGCATTTATAGCCAATCTCAGCAGTATCCATTCTCTGTTACCTCCCTTTGCCCTTGCCCATGGCTCTTGGAAAACTAGATGGATTTTCCTTTTTTAGAGTTGAATTTGAGGTTTCCCATCAATAATATTTTTGCTTAAGACTGATTTGATTGGAGCATACCCAAAATTCAGGTTAAAATCAAAGTATGAACCCCCCACACACATATTTACAGTCTCAGAAATTCATCTGAATTATGGCTCAATCAGGATCAGAAATCAACCTAGAGGATGCAAAAACTCTATTCTATGTTATTTTATTTCATTTATTTTATTTTATTAATGATGGCATCAAATTAAAAAATTAGATGGCTAAACAGCATTTGATTTCTCATTTTCAGAGGGCAAGATGTTGGTGACAGTGAAGGGAATGGTGGACAACACAGAAGACACTGGAGAATTTGGGCAAGGGGAGGGGACAGACAATGAGAAACTAGACATTAAAATTTATGTCATTTAATCCCGGTAACTGTCATAAATGTAAACTATGTATGTACTTTCAAAAGGAGTAATGCAATATTGAGAGATACATTCTACTCAATGCTGTATTTAAGATGCGAGTTGGACATGAGATTTTCCACTATATAACCTGTCTCTCCATCTATAACAAGAGAAAAACAGCACTGATGAAGGACTGGGTGAGAAGAGTCAAAGGGTCAGCGCTAAGAAAGACCTTTTATCTGCTGTCCTCTTTCAATGTCTTGGATTTGAAAAAAAATATAACAATTCATGGTGGGAAGGCCAGGTAGATTTGAAATATACTTAAAATGTAATACATTAAATAAATAAAGTTTAAATATTTACAACAGAATAGTAAAACAGAGAGAGAGGAAATGGAGCAACTCCGACTGATGCTAAAAATTTAAAAGAGTAAGGCAGATCATATAATTTTTCAGTATATCAACTCGTCCTTCTGGATTACCGGTGATGCAGCGATACTGTGGAAGGACAAAAACCAAGTTTAACACTTTAAAACTGTGATACACGAATGTAATTGCAAGTGTTGAGGAGGCTGACAGTGTTCCTGAGCTGACACGCTTATCAGGGACTCAGGAATTGCTACCAGATAGAAAGTCTGTAAAAAAAAAAAAAAAAAAAAAACAAAAAACCAGGGGATTTGGGGCAGCAAACGCTGTGACCTAAAATGTGGAAACAGAAGTCTGTTCCTGGTCCTGCACTTTCAGAATGAACTTCCTGGTGGGAAAAATGATACTGTTCTCCCCGTAAGTTATAGATTTAGCATATGATTTCAGTGTCCTCTTTATAACACATACACCAGAAGTGAACAGACAGCTTCATCAAGTTATGTTTCAAGGACTTGGAAGAGATATGGGATGTGATGGAGAAAAAAATCAAATCTTGCAATGAGAATTTTTAATTAACCTAACACTTATTTTCCCTAAATGTTTTAGGGACTTAAGGAACAAAAATGTGGGGAGAGCTGCACCTTGACATAAATCCCAAGACAAACTTTTATGATTTTTGTTTGTCTGTTTGCTTTGTGGGAGGAGATAATTAACTTATTTATTCAATTTTTTTTTTTAATGGAGGTACTGGAGATTGAACCCAGGACCTCGTGCATGCTAAGCATGCACTCTACCCCTGAGCTCTACCTACCCTCCTCCCTCCAAGAGAAATTTTTAAAAAACTGTCACTAAATATGAAAACGAAAATTACCTAAACAACATGAAGATCCACAGGGAAACAAAAGTTCTAGATATTTTTAGGGATCTGAAGGCATATTCCCCAAAAACTAAACTTAGTTGTACAGTGGAGAGAACAGTGAACTTGAATTTCAAAGAACACAAAGGAAACAAAATACACAGAAATCTCCACTCTTGAGTAGACATTATTAAAAGTAAAATAAAATTTCTCCATGCACCTTTTTTTGTTTTTTTGCTTTTTGCTTTTTATTCCCTAGTTCACTGCTAAAAGATACGTTTGTGCAGTATGATCTCATGACAGAGTGAGAAATAAAAGATCCTTTATTTTTTGTAGGGATACTCCTGAACATACTTAAGTTGCATTTGTACTTTTTCTGAAATCTGACATGAAATAACACTTTCCCAGATAACTTATTCACACTCAATCCAATTTGGGTTTTCTCTTGCTGTTGGTAGAGTATATTATCTCAGCAATAATCATTGGTATAATGCGGAGTCCACATAAAAACACGATGCCCTCATGTGTGCTATTCTTCTGAATTCCAGACCCTTTCTGGCTTTCTTTAGGCAGGATGCTACATGTAACCTTAGTAGCTGCGAGTCTTAGACCAAAAATGCCACATATTGACTGAAACTTAGCCTGACCAAAAATTAACTGCCAATTATTTTTTTCTCTTGCTTTGATGTTTAAAAGCATAACAAACTACCAAACTTCTTTAAAAGGTTTTGGAGACATTTCTATGAACTCCAAGAAGACGATGTTCTCTTAATGAAAGAAAGAACACTACTTTAACTAAAATATTATGACATACTAGGATCTTAAGGAAAAGAGTCGGGATTAAACTTATTTTTAAAATGGAAGTCCTTTATGATCTAAAAAGACCAAACTTTAAACACTAAATATCCCCATTAAAAAATACACACATACTGAGGAGAATGGCATATGCAGGGCAAATTTTTTAAGACCCCACCTCCAAACACCATCACATTGGGGGTTAGGACTTAAACATGAATTTGGGGGAATACAAATATTCAGTCCATTACAGACAGAGACCTAATTTTTTTTTTTCTTCAGAAGCTCCTTTATGACTGTACACTCTTTAGGAGGGGTAGGCGAGTCAATTTTTTATGTCATCCTTGTAAGCATGCCTGGCAAAGAAAGTTCTGCTCTAAGCTATTTACTTTTATTATTATTACTACTTATTTAAACATTTTTTA